ATATAGATATATAGATATAGATATTTGAAACCTTATTCGTTTATTTTTAAATCGATTAAGTATAATTTAAAGCAAAAAGAACTTTTTTTAATACTTACCGAAGCCGAATAAAAAAAATGAAACACACGAGGGATAATACTTTATTTATCGTAAATTAAATAAAGACCGAAACATCGGTATTGCTAGTTAGAAAAACAAAATTAAATAAGGAATATAACGTAACTCGTTGTATAGACTAGATGATTGAAATGTTCAGCTGAATATCATCATCCAGCGAGCGTTTAGACCAACACCCTACCGTGGATTCGGTAAAAACATGCAAATGCATGAACTTCCGAGGCTCAATTTTACTATGTATATAATGCGTAAATTATTCTCTCATAATGTCATGCTAATAAATATTACGACCAGACATGTTTAACATAATTATTATTACACGGGTAAATCTCGGAACAATGTCAGTGTTGTTGATATTATAATATATTATATTACTTTGTCATGTTTTCTGATACCGTTTTTGCGGTTTCTCATCTACGTGAAATCTTCGAACGTCAGACGTCATTAACCAGTAGTACGCGCATGCGCGTACTACGTACAATTATTACAACCAATCGAAAACGGGTTAAAATTTTTTTTATTTATGATCTCCGATAGTTAGGGAAGTGTGCCAACCTAGTACGAAAAATTAAAACGTTATTATTATTACTATTATAATTATTATCGAAGACGACGCGTAACAATATGTATACAATTTATTATTATTATTTCCGGGACGATCGAATGAATCGTTACGATTTCCGCCCATTATTCAATTGTTATTTATTCGGAATACGAGTATTCAGTAGAGTCCGCAACATCAGAGGAAATTACAATACCTACGCATACCAATACACGCGCGTACGAGCAGCAGTATTCGACCAACCCTAAGTTCATTATTAATGTACAACCCCGCGATCCCGTACAGCACTTGTCCATATTGTCGTGCTGTCGACGTACCGGTGGTGCCAGACGATATTCGATAAAACGGCACGAAAAATACTAATAATAATATAATTGATAAGTATGACGATTTCGGGCACTCACATTTCGGATATTGTCGTCTAGTCCGTTCGGACCGCGTCCATTCGTCTCGATGTGCAGTACGTACGTAGCTGCTGCGCTCCGCGAGTCGTCGTCGTCGCTGCTGCTGCTGCTGCTGCTGCTGATGTTGTCCGATCGACGCATTTACGAACACAACTCGCGATTATGTCACAACAATATTTCTTTGTTGTCCGGTGCGGGGTGACGACGGGTTATTCGTTTACGATCGTTTCGAGACCAGAAATTCCCGCGCAGTCCGATCGCGAACCGCGTCCGAGTTAACGGCGAATGGAGTCACGGAAACGGCGCGCACAACGCCGCGGACGGCCGGACGATAACGTGGACGACATCGTGATAACAACGATCGTTTCGGTGCGCGTAAACGTACACGTGCGTCGTCCGGTGTTGCCGTCGTGGGAGAACTGTTTTGCCGGTCGGCGAGAAGACCGAATTCGCGAAACCGAACGAACGCGCGAAACGGAAAACGGTACCCTTACATTTGCGCTCTGCCGCACTTCGTCCGGCGCGCGCACTTTCGGAACTTTCTGCGTCACGGCGCGAACTATGAATGAGAAACGCGACGCCGTGTACGGCCAATGCGGTACTGGTGGCGAAATCTGTAATCATTAGGCGATTCGGACACCCGGTAGCACGCCTTTTCCTTTTTCCCTCTCGCTCCCACTACCGACCGCCATACCAGAACCCAACCCCCTCTCACCACCGATAACTATATCACTCTCTGTCGCTCACTCGCGTACGCGGCCGCTGAAATTATACTACACGTATTTTTTCGTTCACGTCTTCCGCTATTATTTATTTACCATCGTTGTGTTACACTATTTTTCGCTATACCGTGTACATGGAACGGGGGGTTGTTTTTACCCATTGCTTACCAGCAAACGTCTCCCCGAACACGGCCGATTGATGTTACGGCGTAACATGTAAATGTTTCCAATCCTATAATATCGTCGTCCACTTGGTCGGTAGTTGTTACCCGTGACGCGGAACGTTTTCGCTTTTAATTTTTTTTTTCCATTCGAGAGCGTTGTTGAATGCACATCACATTTTTTTAATCGATCGTTTACCTGTCGGATAACTAACTATTCCAATCCGGTGAATCATTGATGATTTCTATTCCGTTTCGTGCAAATTACATTTGATTTTTTTTATTTACAACTACATTTTTTTACGGTTATAATTATAATACATTATATTTCACGCGAAGAAAAAGTACACTGAATTTAAAATATTTCCATGTATGTTTTTTTCATGTATACGTGTACATCGTATACATTTAACATTTTCCAATACTTATTTAATTTGACATATCGTGAATATTTCAAATTATATTAGCGGCAAGTAACCCTAATTTATTTGTATTTAACCAAATCGTCGAAAGCTATTTTTTTTCGAAACAAATCGAACTTTATCAGTTGTTTGTTATCGATTATTAAGTTACAGAATGAACGTATAATACATACATAAGCTACAGTAACGGACTAAACTATATCTATGCGTTGAATGAATATTTATTATTATATCATTTTTCACTTTGGAAAAATTGAAATTGTACACCGCAATGTAATCGAATTTCCGAAATTTAATAATATTTTGTATTTCGTTCTTGTTGTAAACCTATATCGTATTAGAATATCGTATAGCATAAAGTAAACAAATCAAATTACAAAAACCTCAAAAAGATTTTAAATTCGATACCTAAAACAAAAATACGTTTTGAAACAATAACAGTTTAACTGAGATTTTCGTAAGATATAAGATAGTTAGTTATTAATCCATAGTTTGGTAGAATAAAAATAAACCTAATTGGAAAAGTTCTTATGCCTACGAACGTATATATTAATTTTTAACTTTTATTCATGTGTTGATTTTTCCACAGCAGTGAACATAATTTTTCTTTCAAAATATTTCTTTAACTAATAAACCTCGATGTATCATTTACTACTTATATAGTCTTCACATTTAACAGCAATTTTATAATATTATTGTTAACTTGAACAAATCGATGAGGTTATAGCTAAAGAAGTTGACTCCATATTAGTCAGATACAGATAATGGGCAGATTCATTATTAAAATAATATTTATTTTTGATCTATTCATTTTATAATAAAATACACATTAATTTTGTTTGATTAAGTTTGAAGCTGAACAAAAGCCCGATTATCTAGATTGTTAACGAACTTGTATGTAATTATTAATTTTCACTGCCGATACGTTTATGTTACAATAAAAGCTGTTTGTTGTAGTCAACCTACTAACGTAGAAGTTTATCATAAAAAAAAAAAAAAAAACATCATATTTTCTAATACATTTTTCTATCTTTATACACAACTATATAAATTCGTATTCGTGCATGTGTATGTGTATTTTTTCATAAAAAACAGGTGGTGTTCATTTTATGCATGGGTTGTTTTTTGTTTGTTGAAACGTCTAAAGTAGAATGTATATAGGAATTTAATTTACCCAACCCTGAAAAAATACGGTTACAGAACAATATGCAAAGAAAATTTTATTCAGAATGCAGAAAAAAACAACACAAGTTTAACAGTTAAATTGAACTTTTTCAATTTCAGAAAAAAACCGAATTCTATCGTTTATGCAACAATACGACTCGTTTGACAGCCAAAACATTCGTGTTTCTGTCGGGGTCGCTGTCGTACCGCAATAGTATATATATATATATATATATATATATATATATATAATGATAAAGCATTTAACCGGTCAAACTGCAAATTGTGGCAGAATTAAGACGAATAATAAATAAATATTATCGCAGGGGATCAGTTTCAATGAGAAATGATTACAGAAAGTGCTATGTATATTCAAAGAAAGAGAGAGAAAGAGTGAGTGAGTGAGTAGCACGTTGACGTTAAGGGTGCAAAATCAACAGGTACATTATGGGACAGCTCGTCCGATCTGCGACTGTGTGCTGATTTCTATTTTTATCTTCTCTCATTACAATGAATATATTACAATGATTGGTGACGTTTGCGACGCACTAATTATTCAATGACGAACATTGATTGATTGATGCATTTGGTTTATTTTTTATTTTTACTTTTATTTAAACATATGTATGACCTTCTGTAAAAGTCCTTCAGACTTCAACGTGTGATGTTGTTATTACCTACCTACCAACTGTGTTACTACCAGTGCTGTGTGTGTGTCGTGTTACCTTAACTGCTGCGATGGCGGGTGCCATGATTAACAGTGACGGTTTTAGTAATATTATATTTCGTGCGTGTGTGTGTTTATGTGTCTGGTCGCGTGCGCTAGCCATAGTCGAACCTATAGTATACATTTGTTCGAATCGATAAGGTTCGCCTTGGCCTATAGTAGTAAGTCCAAGATTCTACATACATAAAAGTAAAAATAACAAATACACGCGTACACACATACATGTGCAAGCAAACACTCGTACACTTGTGCCCAATCACACTGATACACAAACACTCTTACATACTTGCACAATAGCTCACTTTTATATGAAATTGCTCACACGCACACACACACACACACGCACACACACACACACACACACACATACACACACACACACACATACACACACACACACACACACTCGCAAACATATTACAATAACGTGTACTTGAAAATATTTAAATGGGTTGGTTATGTGGTCGTCGAATCGATAAAAGTGGAAGCACGCTGTTCTCTGCGAGAGAAAGAGAGAGAGAGATAAAGAGATAAAGAGAGAGGGAACAGTGGGGAAGTATAGCAGGAGAATAGTATATGTAGAGGGGGTGTAGGAGAAAGAGAGAGAGTATGACGCGCGCCCGGTTTTATCCTGGTACTGCACTACGCATCAAAAGGTTACCATGGAGACCAGTTAATATGACCCCTCTGCGTCATCCGCTTCTACCTCTTTAGTTCTATTCTCTCTCTCTCGTCCTGTATCCCCTGTTCTTCCCCTTTTCCGGGCGCACTCTCTTTTGCTCCCCACTCCAGCAGACGCGTCTCTTGAACCACTGCCGCCGCCCGCACCGGCAATGTTCCTGGCAGCAGCCCACCTTGCCACTACGCCGCTGGCGTCGTGAGAACTATCCCGCCGACCGCGTGTCGTCATCTCCCCGCCCACCATTTTGGGTTTTGCCTCAGAAAATCTGTCCCGTGTCTTGACCCCTGCATTCCACCTCGTACAACCCTTTATACTTCTTTCACTTTTACCTTGCAATTATTATTACATCTAATTTTGAAAGTGATGGACGGCAAAGTTAATGCGTAAAAGAAAGGAATAGACGGAAAGAGAAAGATGAATAGATAGGGAGTGACGGAGAGAAGTGAGTTTGTGGAAGAGGGAAAGATAAAGAACGAAGTGAAAAGAGGAGTAGAAGGACTATAATACTCGTATAACGACGACGACGAGTGAAAGACATAAAAAAAAAGCTCACGCATTTATATCGAATAAGTCTTTGCCCCTATCTTGTCTACTCGCCTCCGACCTCGATAATTCATTCGACACTTAAGAAAACACGTCATTTTTTATGAGCTCATGAATTTTAAACGCGACTTATCTCTAACGGACACCGCACGTACTACTATTATACTACTATATGTATTTCGTATCCTTCCTCACTCTTTTCCCGAACGCCAAGTGAAGATTTTAATTCTCCTATTTCTTTTAATCAATGTTGACATACTAAAATATGCGCGCGCGCGCGGGTTATTGATATATGTATACAGAATGTTCTGGAAAACTTTAAGGATCTTATATGTTTTCAATATGTGAAAAATATTCATAATTCGCATTTTTCCCATGTCAAAGATTGTTATCGCTGTTGTGCACATCATAAAGATGGGAATATATTATGGATTTCGACGGGAAAATCTCTATAGACAAAATCGCACCTAATCCGTCTTCGTTAAATTTAAAACAGTTTTCAAGTTCGTGTTTCAAGATTTCCTTCGGCAAACAAACCTCTAAATTGAATTATCACCGTAATCTGTGTATTCAAAACGAGTATTCAAATCGACGTTTTGATGGGATTTTTACTTCGTTCGAAATATTTACATTCGAGCTAAGCGATTTTTTTCCCTTCAGTATTTCAAATCATTGCGATATAATATTTTTCAAGTATGATAATTATGGTGTTCGATGAACATATGGACCGTAGGTTTCTCCGGTTTCATTGGCCTAGATTTTTGTACTTACTTGCATTTCGATGTACTTGCGGTACATTAAACGTAGATAATTAATTTCAAGTTAATTAATTGTCAACCGAGAGGGACGTACTATACAATACACTGCACGGATTATGTATTATGTTTACCGGTACATATTAGTGCTTAACGTCTAATGGTGATTTATCACCTCGATTATATCCACTGTACTCCTGTGTATATTTTGTCGGTCACCAATATCCGTTTTCTTCAGTATATATTTATGTATTTAGAGTTGGCCATTAATATCGATATTGTATAATTGTAGTTGAGGTTAGGTAGGAAATTTCGTAGAATATTTCACTTCGATTGCGAACGAAATGACTAACATTTTTTTTACACACACACGTTCCGTAGAAAAATATTTTTGAATAGAAATACTATTAAATTTCTTTTTTCTTTTTTTTTTATATCGTAAGGTCGATTTTTCTGTAAGTATGGAAAATAAAAATAAAACTATAATATTATAATACTGATATTATATTATACAGTTACGGAATGTAAGGGGACAGTTTAGTAATTATATTATAATTCCGGCGTCTTTTAAAAAATTCTCTGTAACTCCAAAGTTATTATTATACAAATCAACTATCCTAAATAAATAAAAACATGTTGTAGGTACAATATATTATCATTTTTGCCGAATCAAGTACATCACAAACGTTCTTCCAAACAAATAAAGGATTTTTATTCAAACGTTTAATAAGGACGCTAACGTAATTGGTACGCGATATGCAATGGTTCACTGTATGCCAGCGAGTTTTTTGAAGGAACAGAGGTGATATCACAATCGCCTCCTCCCCTCAGGCTTTTATTTCATTATAGATTTATTTAATATTTTTGATAAATATATACAGTCGTAGAATCGATATATATAGTAAATATTTTTATATATTCACTATTAAATACTATGTTCATATTTTTTTGTGTGGGTAGCATGTTTCTTGATAGTAAATAATAGTATAATATACAATATAATATAATACGTAGTGATAATATTTTTATTCGCCCCCTCTTTCCCGACCATTAAACAAGCTACAAATCTGCACCTGCTACAGGTTGTTTACATGTCCGAGCTAATAATTGTTCCGACCACTTGAATTTTTGTCGTCCGCACTCAGACACGTTCCGCGGTGTTAATCTGGGGTGCACGTCTTATAAATCTACATCACAAACTTCGTCTGGACAGCGTTTTGCAAAGGTTATGCGAACTGAACCGATCAACGCGATCAAATGGATCAACGCAAGTGGACGACTGATTGATCGATACGTGAACGTATAAAATACGAGTATGTAACATTCTAATGTCACACGTTGAGTACAAAATACGAACTGGATGTTGTGTGCAAACACGTTTCCGGTACGATAGTTTGTATATCACTGTTCGTACGCTCGTCGGAAATCAGCAGTAGGTTTTTCGCAATATGCATTCCGAAACTGACCAATATAAAGGGAAAATGTGTAAAAAATTGTTTTTATAATTAAATTTGTTACTGATTTATGAAATTAAAAAAAAATAAAAAAATTTTCACTTTTGTTTTCGTATAGTATTCAATAGTAAGAGTTTTATTACATTTGTTTTATGTGGTATTACAAGTACATATTATATTTTTTATTATTATTATTATATAGAAAGTTTAATTTCTGCCAGGCTTTGATCTTCTTATTATTTTCCCTTTTTGAAATATTATAACAAATGTTTTTTTTCCTTTTGTCTAACGCCAATTCGTATGGTATTTTATGTTATGTTTAATTTTTTTCAAAATGTTGATAGTTTTTTAAGTTCGATGCGATCCACTAGTATAATTACCGCGGCAAGTGCATGAAATCATAGGTGATAAATGTGTATAATACTAATTTTAATATTTAAATGAATAAATGAAACGTGAAGACATCTGGAAATTTAAATATGCATGCGATTACATTCAAATGTTATGTTAAGTTTGTTATTATTATTATTATTTTTTTTAAATGAAAATTGTTTTTTTATTACCAAATTTTTCATATCTAATGTTTTTAAATATATTGTATATATATATATATATATATACACACATTTGTTACAATTATGTTAATATATCACAGAAAACAAGAGAATGAACCATGTAACTGTTTTACTACGTTATTTCTCAGCATAGGGAAAGTTTAAATTACAAACGATCAAACTTAGTCAAATTTATGACTTTGCAAAAAGTCATAATCTTGTGTACGAGTGGGAAGGGGCGGGTGGTTAATAACAATAGTAAAATGACCACTGTCGGGATTCGCGTTATTAAAAAAAATATTACAATATTATTATACAAACGCGGCATGACGTCACAACGACGATGAAATAGTGCGTAATAATAGTATTCTGTTTTCCACAGCTGGATGGTCGAATGTTGGCAGGACAGATGAAACAAGTTAGCGGCGGAGTGGGCAGGAACATAGCTGACGCTTTGGGCCGTTTCGGACACGATGTCTATTTCTTGTCAGCTGTCGGCGGAGACTCTAACGGCGAACTGATACTTAAATCTCTTAACCACATAGTTAGGAACGACGCACGGCATTTTTGTTGCAGTGACATCTACCCGAAGACATAACGCTGTAGTAATTATTATTCATAATTCCGCAGAGCACGGAAAACGTCGTGGTGATCGACGACCACTTGCAGCCAACGTCCTGGTGCGTGGTGCTTCAAAACCGAACGGGTGACTGTATGGCGTGCATCGGGGATATGGGATGCCACGAGCAGATATCCGTCGACATGGTAATTCATTGCGGGCCCCGAGACGGATCGTTTCGGTGGAAACCACGGTTGGCGACCGAATGGCTTGACGCAGGACTTGATCGTGAACATTGATATTCCGTTTCAGGCGGGTTGATCCCTTGTGATCCTGTTCAGGATGCGCGTTTCGGACGGGTTCCGCCGCTATAATTCGTTTCCGGTCGGGCAAAAGTGCGATTCGAATCAGAAGCACGTGCGACGCGATAGCACGAGTAACAGTGTATTGTGTAGGTCAGCGTTTCTTAAACTTTTTATCCGCGGTCCCCTTTTTTACGTCCGCTTTTATCATGGAATCAGGAGCGTATTTAGACTTACTTCTAGAGGGGGGGGGGGCGACTCAAATTTTTTCTTTAATTCAGGCTCAAAATTTACAAGTAAAATTTTTGGTAATATTTATATCAGATGAATCCTTTATATTTGTGTTTTTTTTTTTTTAATCAAATGCCGGATTCACTTAGAATGGTCTTTTGTGTAGTTCTTTTTTAACACATATCTGTGTTTTGAAAGTTTCGCTTGTGTTTGATCTAATTTTTCACTAATTATGGACTGGGTCTTAAATCAAAATAATATATATTATTTATCGTTATTGGACATATAAACGTTATAAGTAGGGCCCGTAAATTAGTATCCAAAAATTATTGTTAAATAAGCACATATTTATGCACTCAAAAATTCAAAAATATGCAAAAAATATGCAAAAAAAAATTCTTTATTGTGCGTTAAAAAAAAATGAACATCTTGAAACAATTAAAAAATATATTATGTGAAAAAAATAGATTAAATAAATTAGATAAATGCAAAATTAATAAAATAATAACAAAAAATGTAATATTAATTTTGGAACGAGTACCAACAGGAGGTTACGAAATAACTTTTTATATTTTCAAATTCGAAATTTCTACGATTGTCACGTAACACAGATTTGTATTTTGAAAAACTTCTTTCTATGTCGCAAGACACGATAGGTGCATACTTAAAACAAGAAATGTCTTCAGGTGTCAACTCTTCAATGCCTTCATTGTCATTGCTTATTTCTCCGCTTAATATTCCACAAAATTTTTATAATTTGAGAATACCCTGGATTCTTCAATAATACTTGCATTAGTTTAAGTTTAGCAAATTCTATGCCTATTCCTCCTTCACTTAACCTAATTTCAACATTTTTAACCAATAAGATAGTTTCTCGTAGGTTAGCGCCCGATTTTTCTATTTGTAAGATAGTTTCTGTGATGCATTGAAAATTGGCTAATATAACTGCAAGTTCATTTTTTATTGAATTGTCTTTAAATACATCATGAACTTTTTGAATAGACATTGCATCGTTTTCATTAAATGTATTGATAACTTCTTTTATCTTATCAAAGTTCTTACCATAGTAAAAAGCTGCATTAAGCCACGTACCCCAACGTGTAATAACGGGCTGTGGTGGTAAACTTAAATTTGGGCACATTTCTTTAAAAGTATTTACCCGAGCAGAGGCTTTTAAAAATATTTTTTTTGTGTTAGAAATTAACACGTCAACTTTTGGGAACTTATCTCTAATAGCTTCCGATACCCTATGAAGGCCATGGGCCATACATGTAATGTGAGTTAGTTTAGGATAAAACACTTTTAACGTTTTTCCAGATTTTATCATGTATGGTGCAGCGTCTGTGACATAAAGTAATACTTTATTATGTAATACTTTTTCAAGCCACAGTATACTCATAGAGTCATTGAACAATTTTGAAATCGTTTGAAAGTTAGCCTTTTCTAAGTTTTCAATTGTTAAAACTATTGGTTTTGTAGAACTTTCTGACGATAGGGAGCCAATAATTACACATTCGATGTAACGTCCTTCGACATCGGTGGTTTCGTCAATTGATACCCAGATGAAACTATCCCCTATTTCTTTTCGGATTTTACGTAATACGTCTTCATAACATAACGGAGCATAGTTTTTTCATAGTGTCGATTCATCAGGTAATTTTAATTTAATATATTTTTCGAAAAAACATTTAAATTCTGGGTTTTGTAGTTTCCAAAGTGGAATATCATTTGCCACCATTAAGGTACAAATATCTTTACTGAACTCATTCAGATTTTGATTATTTGTTCTAGTCTGATCAAGTGAATTTTTTATAAACTGTTGACTAACCTGGTCTTTGTTTGATTTCAAATTAATGTTCTCAATGTGTTTTGATGTTCCTAAATGTTGAGTAATCTGTGATTTTCTATCACACGATACGTTGGTTTCACAAAATGTACAAAATAATATAGCTCCATCTGTACGAAAGACACCTGGGTAATCTCTCATGTAACAATCAACTTTCTTTACTTTTGGCATTTTGCAAAAAAATAAAAATATTATTTTATACGAACACAAAAACTCTGTAGTTACACCAACAAATTACCGTCACTAACTAATTGAAATACATAAGCCGTGCATTTCGCGTGTGCGTATACCTAATAGATGCAAATAAGTTACCTGAGATAAATACACGAACACGCGGACTGTCGATAAAAATCGGCGACAGAAATTTCCCAATTACTTAAAATAACTTTTATGTCGACATCAAACTCGCCTTGCTTTGCAAAAAATAAAAAAAATCATGGACTATTAATAAAAAATGCAACTTCTATGCATTTATATAGAAATATGTAATTAATATGCATTTTCATTCAAATATGCAAAAATATGCAAAAATAAATATTGATAGCAGAATCTACGTGTTACGAAACGTTAGTATATTTAATCAGAATTTTTATAAGTCAATTGTAGAAGAATATGCATTTGCCTAAAAATCCGGGTCCTAGTTATAAGCAATTGAGCGTTTAACGCTATAAATAATTTAAACGTTATTCAATTTAAGCATTTAAACTTTATATAAATTGAAGCGTTTAAACGTTTTACAAATTTAAACGTTTAAAAAATTTTCCGTTTACCGTTATTGAAAATTAAAACGTTATGAAAAATTTAGCGTTTTGTGTTATTTAAATTAGTGTAAAATTTTAAACGTTTTCAAATGTAGTAATACTATAAAATAAAACATAATTTTTGTTTCTTATTAAAATACCCATTACTTATATAAAAATTATCTTAGTCTAAAAATTCTGGGGGGGGGCGATTGCCCCTATCACCCCCCCCCCCCCCCAAATACGCCACTGCATGGAATCTCGTGATTTTTTTTTTTTGGCTTTTTAGTTTTTTTTATTTAGCTATTACTTATTACAGTTCGACGATAAAAACTTACTTACTTTGTTTCAATAGTTATAATACATAATTTTTCGTATCTAAAGATTGTTTGCAATAAAATTATAATAATAATGAGTATACTATATTTAATTAAAAAAAAATATTTTAAATAATACACAAACAAGATTTCTAAATTTTTTATTTTAAAGATATGAGCGAAATTACTTTTTATTATTGCAAATTCTTTATATTTGGCTTTATTGATGAACGTTTAATCATCATAATAGGTTCGGCATAAAGTCCATTGGGGTATTTTATTTTTGTTGACACATAGGCGGAGAATACCCTTTCACACATATTAATGGTTGCAAGTAGTAAAAATGCAAACACGACCTTTTATGACAATCGTGGGCATTCATAACCAATTAATGTTAAAATATTATTACTGTACAGTGTATAAGCATCATAAAATACATCGTAGAAGTATTGATTATATCATATACATTATTATTTAGTATACAAACATTTTTTAATCCACTACACGTTACAAATCTTAAGTTATATTTTGAAAGTCATTTTCTTGACAATTTTTGAAGAAAAAATATTTAAGTTTTGCTAAACTCAGAAGTTCCATGGAATACGGTTTAAGAAACAATGGAATAGGTTTCACCGACAATACTACTCGAATATAATTATTCGCGTGCTCCGCGGGTATAGTTTATTGTGTGTGACTGCATTGTGTGTAATTGTGTGCTGATAAAATCAACCGTTGAATTAATATCCATTAGTTTGCTTTTAAGACTTTACTCGTTCATGGTATTATCATATTCAATGTTCAACGGCTATGGCCGCGCGCGCAATTACTCACTCGCATTTTTAAACGTTTGATTAATTACATAAAGATAAAAAATGATCCGTCAACGGATTCGAATGCAAAACGCAAACATCAACTATAATATATTATCGGTCTTGATATCATATAATTAATAATCAATTAAGTGAAATAAAAAATCGACAAATGTTTAGTAGGAATATTATCGAATAAAATACGTGTGTTGATTCAAATCATCTATGCTAATAAATTATTATAAACGCTTATTATATTATACTATAAAATGGCTACGGGTGCGAAAAGTGTTCATAGGTAGCTTTAAAAGTAAAAAATAAATAAAACAATAAAACAACAGAACACCACGTTCAAATAAATCTAAATAACGTATACTGTTCAGTGCGATTTGATAAAAATAAAAGTTTTTATTTATTATTGCTTAAATTGTGTTTACTTTAAACGACCACTTTAGTGGACTATTAATTTAAAAACTTTACTATAAAAAAGTAAGAAAATCATTTATAACAATAATAATACAAGTGTATAATATTATTATGAACTTGGAACGAGAGCGAAATATTATTACTACTAAACAATAATAATACGTAGTAATCTTGCAGCAAGCGCACCGCGAGAAATACGACTCTTCCTGGAGTTAAGTTTGGTAATATAGTGTATCGTGTAAATTTAAGAGTCCAGAGATCGAACCAAAAAATAATAGTTGTATTACATATTTCAATTTTTTTTTTTTTTTTGTTTTTATTTATTTATTAATTTTTAATTTTCGATTTTCTCGTCAAACTGCAGTATTGGTCATGTAGCAAAAATTTCTCTCGTTGTTTTCGCCAAAAATAATTCCGTTTCATCTGCGCTACTACTACAAATCTACAACTGCACCATCGTTCCACTGCTATTACTCCCCTCGTGTACGCAACTGCTATTAGTCATTACTAATAGTCACCAACACCGCAACTGCTCCACGACGACTACCGTAAAATAATGTAGGATACCTCTTCTACCACGGCGGGGTAATAGTATTAGCGTGTCAGACGATTTTAATTTATCGCGTTTTGTTTTCGAATTAATTACTTACAATTTTTTTTTTTTTTTTGCTAAATGTTTGATAATATACGAAATATTATTAATTATGGTTCCGTTTTCGAAAATAGTGCACGTCCAACGCGACCTACGTTTTACAACAGCCGAGTAAAAGCGCTAATCCTTCGTTTTTCAATTATTCAATTATAACCTAACCACTATTCCAGGTACGGATCATTTAAATTACAGTTGAATTATGTGCGTGAATATATTTTGTTCTAAAGCCGACGTCGCAGTTTTCAGCGCGAACCTCTAGTAATCGATTTACGTTAATATATAGTAGTGATTTTATAGTTATGGTTTCAGACGTGTTCGTTCACGGTCAATTCACTGTCGACATTGCAGTACTCGGTCGGTTAATACGTTTACAAATTAATAACAATAATTTATCGTATATTTTGTTTTGATCGATTTCACGAAATGTATCGTCGTCGGTCGTGTACAATGGTGATGTGGCCGTTCCCGTACGAAAGATAAAAATAAATATCGATGCGTTGTACCGAAGCCCGCTGGTAGTTATCGATGGAAACGTTTGCGCGGAAACAATGAAGTTTGTGATTGGATTTTGTAACGAGGAGAACATACCAGGTAAGGCCGTTTCCTGAGCCAAGTAAAGTATCTGCTTCGAGGTAGTTTTATAGCTTCTCTAGTGATTTGTGATCTCTTACACAGTGTACTTCGAGACCACCGACATTTCCGTGGCCGCAAAACCGTTTCGCACGGATATGTGGAAAGGATTATCCTTCATATCGCCGAACTTTGAGGAATTGCAACAAATTTCGAACGCAATACCAGGTAATCGTTATATGTTTATGTTTCATCTGATTTCCATAATTGGCCTTTCACTTACTCAAGCATTTTGTATTAGAGTGGTACTCGTTTATTTATAAAAGTTCATGAAACATTTTTTTTTTTTTTTTGTGAACACCAAGACGTTCTTTATTTATTACTTATGCTAAGATTAATATTGCATTGTATATTCAAAATTCTACGTTTGGAAAATATATTTTTCTGTAGTTTAAAAAAATCTCATAAACTATCAAACGACTATTGTTGTGATGATCAAATTGAGTTGTTAAAATATTTGGCTTCTATGTAAAATCGTATGTTTAAAAACTATTATTGTAATACTTGATTATGCATCAATAAGGAATTATAGAAATTGATCTGAATTGTTTTATAGATTGTAAAAAAAAAAAAAATCGAAATCATTTTGTTTGTAATTTAATAGGTCGATATATTTCATTATTCACTTACAAAATCATATCAAACAATAAACATATACCGTAGTATAACATAAAAACACTATAGTCATATAAACGAGAGATGATAAAAATTGTTTTTTTTCAAATGAATATCAGCTGTTTAAAAAATATTTAAATATATAAATATTTTCTATTTTTATTATTAGATAGACAGAATAACGAATGAAGCATTTATATATGGAATATATAAAAATAGAATATTCTGGTAAACTATAAAAATTACGAGGGACCAAATGGTAAGGCATTTGCTGCGACACAATAGTCTATCGTAAAACGATGTTGAAGGTCATATTGGAAAGACCAAGGACGGAGTACATAAGATAAATTTAGATAGACATGGGACACAATAGGTATATGGATCTAAAGAAATTATATAATGGTAAATACTCATGGAAATCTGCAGCAAATCAATAAAATTATTGAAGTTGTAAAAAAAAAATACAGGTTAAAATCCAGGTTAATTTGAAACCCCTGTCGATTTATTTGTTTTTTCAATTTTCTAGCACGATCTCAATACTCTATTGTGCATCGATGTTTTTTTTCAAATTTATACATGTGCACTATTACAATTGAAATAAAACTTATACTCCAACATTTATTGTCAGAAGAGTAATTCGAATTCAGTAGATTATAATTTACTCAAGATCAACCATTCTGAGAACTAAATGAAAATTTTTGTTACCTTATCTGAGTGTGTTTAAGGTACAACAATTTAAGACCTTAATTGTCGGCAGCAATATTTAGTGCCGTTTAATGATTTGCATTGGTTTATATATATATATATATATATATAGACTCCAATATCTTGTTTTACGGTGTTATTTGGTTAAAAATCGATGCTTTCAAATTTCTAAAGAAAACTTCGGTTGTACATAGTGTATCTTTTTTTTCATACCAAGTTCTTGAACATATCTCAAAATATACAGTTACATATGATAAAATAACTTATAACCTCAGTTTCGTAAAATTCATGTTTAACAGCATTAATGACTGCCTTTCGGAGTAAACCGTGATGAGCTTAGGATTTAACTTCTTTATAAAAATTTGACTTAGAAAAACATTCCACAGTAAGTTTATACTATATATTTTTTTTTCGTGGAATATTGTTTAAATTCTTAGTGTTATATAAACGTTTGGAGAAGTATTGATGGAACAAATAAAAAATACCCATCTCACAAAGCCAATGAAAACAGTTTGACTTAAAGTTTTTAAATGTTTTTTGTCATGAATGTTTAAACGTATTTAACGTTAAGATTACTGCTAACACAACATTTAAAAATGATTCATCATCATACTATATATGCGATCACATAGATGAAATTTAAAATTATATTATTAAAAATTGTCTAAGATTGTTTATTATTATTTATAAACAATGATTATTAGCCATTTTGATTTTACTTTAGTTGAGTAATGCAAGGCATATTCTAAGGATTTTTACCTAATGTCCAAACACACTGAAAAGTTTGTTTTATGAAATTTAATTGGGTTATAACACTTACCCCTTCCCCAAATAAATTATATATGGATACTTTAGAATTTTGGCCATTGCGTGGTAAAATATTAAAAAAATACATATCTTTTCCGATATACGTATGCCATTATTTAAATTTAAATTACATAGTTTAATCAATTATCGAAGTAGCAAAGATTGTAAACTTATACAATTATTACTTATTAGGTAATAGGTTGGGTTTATTAATTACACAAATTTCAAATACTCAGTAGAAATTCAATCATTCTATAAGGAAAATTATATTTTTGTTAGGTACCCATATTTATAATATCCACTACCCTTTTGATTTTTCCTACTACCCAATTTGGGTTGCACTGTCCATTAGAATAAGACCTAGAGTGATGGAGGCATAGGTATTCTTAGCGTATTCTTTTTAATTTTTTTTTTTAATTTGGTCATTAACTATATACTTCACGTTATTTTTTTAATTTTTTTTAATTGTTAAGTGCATATTTCTATAAAATTTCTCTTTTCTCTTCATAAAATAAAAAAAATAATCATTATCTATTCTCTTCTTATACCACGTGCAACTATATGTAGTAGAGTATATGTTTATTCGAATATTAATATTCGATGCTACAATACCTTATTTGTTTTATCCGTTTTTCCATGACAAGCTTTTTATACTATTTATTATTAATAAGTAATCCATATCTACACAACTAAAGGTAATGTAATAATGTATGTCAATTTGTTGATTGACATACATTATTTTACATTGATTGTCAATTATTTGACCTAAATACGAAAATAGTTTTTATCTTGCAGGTACCTATTCGTAGTTAGCTTTATTTTACTCGTTATAGCCGATAACTCGTAATAACTATACTCGTCGTAGACGTATATTTTAATATACAATCATATCGCACATCCATATTAAAACAGTAAAAACTCAAAAAGTTAGTTTTTTTAGTTAAACGTATATTCGGATTCTACAAACGAAATTACATAAATCAACAAAACAGGTTTATCTTTATCTTTAATATTCCCCGTCAGATGGCAATGTAAGTACATTTTATTGAATGAATGATATACCAAGGTACCACCAACAAAACCGACATTCCAGAAAAAAGCGTTTTTTGAGTTGTTACTGTTTTGATATAGGTGTGCGATATGTACCGTGCCGGGACCTAACGTTTTGCTTGTTGTTAGCAGTATATTGTTCTAAGCGATGCTCGCTATAGTGATTTATAGTTTATACTGTATTAATAATAATTTAATTATGATATTCGAGTATTTTGCACAATTTTTATATTTGTATTTTACTCGTAATTGCCATGTCAAGTAGTAAATATCGCTAGCTTCGAATCCACTCTCGCAAACCTTTATGCACCATAAGCCATATAATATTATTATTAAACGTTTTGTGTTGCGCGAAAACTTAAACGAATAATATTTATTACGTATTATATTGTAGCATCGAATACTCCAATGATTCCCATCACTGATATGTAGGTACACGTACTATTTTATTTCACTTGGCCAATGATTGTTTTAGAACGGATGATGAAAATTAAATCGACCACTTTGTGTTTTTTGATTCTTCTATTAATGTTATCATATAAGTTCTTTTGTCGAATGGCGTTTTCTATTTACTCTTCTGCAATTCGCTATCGGTGTTAAAATTAGACAAATCACAAAAATAAATGTCGATAAAATCGTTAATTATTTTGTTGTTAATAGTAATAATGAAAATTCATAGAACCATTACTAAGTTAAAACAAAAGGTTAGTAAAATATTACATTTTGATCAGAATATAATCTTCTTTCCCATTGCCTTTATAACAAAATTGAACTTTTCTGCACCAGCTGCTACGACTTTTTTTAACCACTCCTTAAACCCCCCCCTATTCCACCAGATTGTATCGAACATACAATCTCTTCTTGTTTATATTAATATAATTTAAGACTCTAGTGTGACGTTATAATAATACTTAAAGATATATCAATCCTAGTCTTATTGAATCCATTCCTCTCCATCCCAACAATCCTGTTTTTATTTTATACTGTTATTGTACACCAAATAAATCCTTTTGTTTTTATAAATTAAATGTTTATAACACAATATTTTTATATACTTAATCATTTATTATTTTAAAGGATTTATTTCAATTATAAATGGTGAAAGTTATTTTCAATTTTTATCAATAATAAACCATTATATTTTATATTTATACTCAAACTTATTTTTAATACATTGTATAAATGCGTATGATTTTACACTTAAATGGTTTTAATATTATCAACAAATCTAATATTTTTTCTTACGGTTTAAAAATAAATAATTTAACTTATAATAATATAATTTAATAATTCCAAACAATAAAAGTTGAATAAAAAACATTCTTCGAAAAAGTCGTCCTTTTTAGTACCACTTGATTTTGTGTATATTTGTTTAAGGACTAAATGCTTTAATCGTTATTTTATTTACTCATTTAAATTAGTTACATGCATAAGAAATTTATGATTCACATTTCTACATGAATAACTTTACTGATTAAATAATGAACAAACCATTCATTTGTTTTCTAGGACGGTATGCCTTTATGAATAATTAAATTTAAACTGAATTCATTATTAAGTTTTAAATGATAATTAAATATACTACTGAAAATTAATCAATTGCATGAATAAACCATCCCAAAAAATGCATCGATGACTATTTTGGTAAACTCCGATGGATATTATAATGAAAACTATAAAATGCCATAACGTAGTTATGATGATAAATGAAAATGCAATAAAAAAATTAACTGCAATGACCGTACTTAAGATTTATATAAACTTTTAAAAATTGTGTAAAAAGTGCGATATTACTTATAAGAGACAGTTAACTTTCATTTAAAGACCCTATAAAGTTGTTTAATATTTATTTTTGATACACTGCAATTTTATATAATTGTTTAAAATATTTTATGGTATTTAATTTTCATTTATGTATAGTAAATACGCAGTCATAAAAAGTGAAATGTGGGTATTTACGTTATATTTATTAGTTTTGTGATCTAAGTAAC